TATAAAAAAGAATAAAAATAAGGGTTTTTATGGTTGGAAAGTGAAGAGTTTATAAATATAATGATTTAATATAAAATTAAAAATGCATATGTGGAATGACATGTGTCTTTTGATTTACACGTGGCATGACACGTGTTAGTAATATGCACGTGTGGCATGACACATGTCATCACCACAACCAAGTAACTCTATTTTACACACACACACACACAAATATATATATATATATATATAGATTTTGGTTCTGGTGAGAATGCAATCTTAGGAGAGAAATGAGAATGAATCTGGTGCTTTAGATTGTGAGATCTAAGGGTCAAGATTTCATCAAAATTAGATGCACCAAATTGGTGCGAAAATGCATCATAAACCTTCGAAAATGCACTATCTCAAAATCTGAGCGCAGGATGCAATCTGAGCCGCACGATGCATCAGATCCGACGGCTAGATTTTATTCTCATTTCTCTCCACAAGGTGCATTCTCACGGGAACCGGCCCCTATATATATATATATATATATATATATATATATATATATATATATATATATATATATATATATATATATATATATAGATCTCATCGTCGCCGCCCGCCGGAGCACCTCCATTCTCCTTCCGGACAAGTCGACTCAATCTGTAGAAGATGGTGAGAATCAGTGTGCTGAATGATGCGCTCAAGAGCATGTACAATGCCGAGAAGAGAGGGAAGCGTCAGGTCATGATCAGACCTTCTTCCAAAGTGATCATCAAGTTTCTCATGGTCATGCAAAAGCATGGTTACATTGGCGAGTTTGAATATGTTGATGACCACAGAGCCGGGAAAATTGTGGTTGAACTCAATGGAAGGTTGAACAAGTGTGGTGTGATCAGTCCTCGTTTTGATGTTGGGGTTAAGGATATCGAAGGATGGACTGCAAGGTTGCTTCCTTCAAGACAGTTCGGCTACATTGTGCTGACTACCTCTGCGGGCATCATGGACCACGACGAAGCAAGGCGCAAGAATGTTGGTGGGAAAGTTCTCGATTTCTTTTATTAGAAGGCTTGTTTTGTTTACCCAGAACCAGTTATTTATGTACCTTTGTCAATTTATGATCTACACTTCAGATTAGCTCTCTGTTTGTTTTGAATTCTTTTTTATATTCCAAAGTGAGTGGATCTCGTTGTGCTTTTATATATATATATATATATATATATATATATATATATATATATATATATATATATATATATATATATATATATATATATATATATATATATATATATATATAGACACACACACGTGTCATGCACGGGGTCGAACGAAAATTTAGTGATTCGGGTATTTTTTTTAATGCAATATTTTTCTGGAATAAAGAAAATATATTTCTTACATGATTTTTAATATTATAGACAAAGAAGCCAGAGTAGAATAAATACTATTCGAGGAATTGAATGTGTACTCAACAAACTTTGTTTCAATACGAAATTTTCTGAAAGGCTATAAGGTATACAATATTTTTAGTATGATTGCAAGGGTTTCCATTGTCATTTAGAACCAATGTTTTTAATATTCTCTTTGTCTTCACTCGTGAAACAACAACATAAATCTTACGATGAGTGAACAAGGACTTGGTTAAAAATAGTCCAATAAATGACATTATTTGACCTTGAAATTTGTTGATAGTCATTACAAAATATAAGAGTGTTGAATTGCCCTCTCTGGAACTTCAGGGATAGTCCTGTATAAGATGGTACCGAATTCATCCGAGGTATATAAGCTTTATCTCCAACTCGATTTCTCAAAACTGAAGAGTTGATATATTCCAAATCGTATGATGTGTGAATACAAGGGCGTATATATAGTAGAGGTTTCCTAGTTATATTAGGAAACCTATTGTGTTAGGAAACTATGATAAATAAGGACTATACAATAAATGGAAACTACTATATACAAAATATACTAAATATATACTTGATATATTTAACATGCTCCCAACGGCACTGGTGATGAACACTGAACTCCCAAGCATTCCCGGAATTCTGAAAAAATAATGGATGGAAGGCCCTTCGTGAAGATGTCAGCATACTGGAGTGACGAAGGGACATGGAGTACTCGCACCTGGCCGAGAGCCACTCGATCTCGAACAAAATGTATATCAACCTCGATGTGCTTTGTGCGCTGGCGCTTGACGGGATTTGCAGAGAGGTAGACAGCACTCACATTATCGCAAAAAACAAGAGTGGATCGGCTAAGTGGTTGCTGGAGTTCTAGGAGGAGGTTGCGTATCCAACTGACTACGGCTACGGCATTGGCTACCGCTCGATATTCGGCCTCGGCACTGGATCTAGACGTGGTGAGCTGGTGCTTAGATGACCAAGAAATGAGATTATCGCCAAGGAATATGCAATAGCCGGATGTGGATCGGCGGGTGTCCGGGCAGCCAGCCCAATCAGCATCTGAGTAGGCCCGCATATGGTCCATGTGCAAAAGTTGAAGCGGTCTAGACGTTGAAACAACGTTTTTAGACTTAAACGAAGCCCGAACTTGCTTCCCCTTTTGACATGCATCACATATGGTGTCTTTTTCAAACTTAAGTTTTGGGATGCCAATTACTAAGTCTTGTGAAACCAATTTGTTCAAAAGGTTCATGTTCATATGAGCTACCCTTCGGTGCCATAGCCAAGTGTCTTCCTCTTTACTCATGAGGCACTTAGCAAAGCCGGAAGGAGATTTGTCTAAGTTAACCATATAAATGTTATCGATTCTATCACCACGTAGAATGACCTTATTGTCACTAAGGCGTTCTACAGTGCATGATTTTGAATCGAAGGTCACACGGTTTCCCTTGTCACATAATTGACTTATGCTCAAGAGATTGTGTTTAAGACCTTTAACAAGCAAGACATTATCTATGGACGAGTCTTCGGACTTACCTACTGAGCCGACCCCAATTATTTTTCCTTTGCTGTTGTCTCCAAAAACTACGTTTCCTCCTTTAGCGGGTTTGATTTGTAGGAACTTGGATGCATCTCCGGTCATGTGCTTGGA